ATGCAGGACGAACGGGTTCTCAAGTTTGGATCTAGTGGTGGTATTAGCCTTGGTGCTCCGCAAAAAGGGCCGACACGCAGACCCAACGCCATGCAGAGAATGGAGCAACAGGTGGAGAGAATCGTCAGCAATGCTCGCCGGAGAGAGGAGGAGAAAGGTTTACACTGTAAGCATTTAGCGGAACAGTGACAGAGCTCTATTTAAGCCCTTCACAGCCCTTCACAGCCTTCAAGGTGCCCTTGGCAAGACATCAGGGCGCAGTTACAAAGCAGCTCCTCGGCAGCTTCTACAGGTTGACGAAAACCCGGCGACGTCGCCCTCACATGCCCACGCCCACGCTCACATCTCTAAGGAGGACGCGAAAGAAGGGGCGGCCACGGAGGCAGCTAAATTCAGTCGTGAGACTTTGGGCAATGTACACCCAAATCCATGCCGGTCCTAGCTGGTACTCATTCAACTTTTTTCAGGGAGGGAATGTCGTCAGAAAAGACCCTCTTACCCATCGGCAGGTTTTGGCTATTCTTGAGGCGCTGTATGATCTAGTGCTTAAAGTTGAACAACTGAGGCGTGATCGTCCTCCGCAAGAAGACGAACAAGCAGGCCAACAGTGGTGCGCTTAAACATGAATTTACTGGCTAATTTTTTCATGTTTTGATAGGGAGAGGGAATGCAACGAGATAGTTGAGCAACTCTGGGAAGGATTAAAAGTCATGGTGCCTTTGGAGACCAGGTAAGAAGCTGCAAGGCACAAAACGCATACTTTCTCATATGCTTTCAGTAACCCCCATCCCTTCGTCTCTTTACTCTTCCCAAGCAAGGGCAAAAAGCTTCTTCCACGCCTCACCAGACATATCGATCAGCCTCGCATGCTCACCCTCATGACGCTTCTCGTCGCCTGTTTCACTCAATTAGACGTTGTGAAGCAGGCGCCTTTGCTGGACTCCCTAGACGATACTCCGGAGCAGGCTGAGGCGGAACGGCAGACACAAGCTTTCCTAACCAGCGTCCTACAGAGTATTTTGCCGGTTGTAACCAAACTCGAATTGCACTATGTCACTGCACTGCTGGGACTATTGATCGAGCGTAGCCAGGACATTGGCGCTCTTGCTCAGACCAAGGTACATAAACATCTATCTATCCATGATAACTTGTTGAGTTTAGCTGCTGTAGCCCGGACTGGCTCTCCTTACACTGTTCCTTAGCCGAGTTGAGGTCATCAAGCAGGCGTGGGGGACAGGTGCTGACCCTATTGATCGTGTGTCGGCGAGCGCATCTCTTGAGCAATGGTAAGCTCCGTGGCATTCGACTGAAATGCACAAACCGAAACTCCCATACAGGCAAGCTGTATTCGATCAGTTCTTCGCTCTCCTCACTCCCCACTTCCTGCGACTATTCCCGTCGAGTCGCATCACGCTGCAAGCCCACCATCCAGCGAGCGCAGCACTTGCCATCGACATCATCGACCAGCCGGTGTGGCAGTTCCTAGCTGCACTTGCGCTGCTGGCCGTCCCGGAGCAGCATCAAGTGCTTGTGACCTCCCTCCGCGACAAGGTGCTTGAGAATGTGCTGAGCGCGAACAAGGGTTGGGTAGCGGACGAGGACGAGAGGCGGACAAAATTGGCGAACGTTAACTTATTCCTGCATGCCCTAGGCTTGGATAGTTCGCAGATTACATTGTGAATCATTCTTTCGTTGTTTTGTTAAGGCCGGTGTCTACTCACGGCATCGTGACCAACAAGGTTCAAAAATAGCCCTGTCAACGTGGAACCTATACTTGACCCAACCTCTCGTTTATCGCTATCGGCCTCCGACACTCGGACTGTCGTGCTGGCTGCCCATGCTTTCATTATACACATTCGTCCTGTTTTTTCTGAGTTTTTCAGGCCTTGTCTACGCCAAATCGAGCGACGGAGACTCTGTTCTCGTCATCGTCGAGGACTCGCACCAGGATGACTTCAGTCTCTTCTTTGACGACCTGAGAGGTGTGCCGGTTTATAGTTCTAAATGCGCTGTTCTGACGCCTGGCCAGCACAGGGTTATGAACTTGCTTTCCGTGCACCCAAGGACGAAAAGCCGCTATTAGTTGAATATGACGTTCCCGCGTTCTCTCACATTATTTTCTTCGCGTCCGAGTCCAAAAGTGAGTCTGTTGTAGGCGCGATAGAAAATGTGTATCCATTCTCGTTGCGCAGTCTTCGCCAAAGACATCACACCACAGTCCATCGTCGAGCTTGTATCCGGCGGCACGAACTTGCTCATTGCCCTTTCCTCGAAGCAAACCCCGCTTTCCTCGCTGGCCGCAGAGTTTTCTCTCATCCTCCCTCCACCGGGCACGCCTTTACTCTCGTTCTTCCCTGAGCGCAGCGATCCGCCTTCCGTGATCCCAATTGACGCACCCGCGTCTTCCGCTATCTTGTCGTCCAAGATGGCACCGGTGTGGTTCTCCGGTGTTCCGCTTGCGCTCGGAAACAACCCGCTGCTTGTGCCGATCTTGAATGCTCCGATGGAGAGCTTCGCCGGCGACGTGGACAGCGGTGCCGATGCGCTGGTTGACGCCACCGAGAAAAACGGCGAGGGACTCTGGGCGGGTAGCCAGCTTAACGTTGCGACTGGCTTCCAGGCCGTTGGGGGTGCTCGTGTAACTTGGGTCGGAGGGGTTGATGTGTTCAGCGACAAGTTCGCCACGAAGGAAGTGTCCAAGTGCGTTGTCCGTCTCTTTCCGCATTTTGTTTTGTATCCTACATCGCGCAGGGGTGTTAAATCTGGCAACACCGAATTCGCGCGCGACGTTGCGGCGTGGACGTTCCAAGAGTCGCTTGTACTGCGCATCGACAGCACGACGCACCACCTCGTGAACTCGACGACGCCGTCAGATCTGTACACCACCAATGACAACATCGTGCGTATTGCAGACGGTCGTCCCGCTGACTTCTGGATAACACGCGCCAGGTTTTCACTGCCCACATCTCGCGCTTCAACCCCAAAACCTCGAAATGGGTGCCGTATTCCGACATCCAGGACATGCAGCTAGAGTTCACGATGCTGGATCCTCACATTCGCATCGCTCTCCCGCCGGTTCCCGGATCCCCCGGAAAATACTCTGTCACATTCCGTGCACCAGACCGCCATGGCGTTTTCAAATTTGTTATCAATTATAAGCGAAAAGGGTACGACACCGTACCTTCCCGTCCACTTGACGATGTTCTTACGTTTATGCAGATGGACACATCTCCACAGCTCAACAACGGTCTCCGTTGCGCCTCCCCGGCACGATGGCTATCCGCGCTTCCTCAGCGCTGCATGGCCGTATTACGCTGGTGCAATCAGCACCAGCGTGGGCTTCTTTGTATTCTCAGCAGCCTGGCTGGGTGGTGAGTCGCGGGAGGGCAAAAAGTCTAAAGGAGGCAAGGCTCAGTAGGGAGAGGACATCTGTAGACATTGACTTGTAAAATTGCTCTTAAAACGGCGCGCTTTCTGGATACTTGTGCACGATGGCGCCAAACCAGATTGGGCGAGAGGAGCATTTTATGTATGAGGGGAGAATCATCCTATGTCCTTTCATTGGAGGGCATTAAAGTTCCACTGAACACTCTATGTAATAGCTCGAAAACGGACAGGGACTAGTAAACAGTATGCTGCTTGTCCAGCCCAACATATAATCTACTTATGAGCTGATCAATCGCACGTTCGTGGTATAAAAAGAGCAAGGACAAACATTTTTGACAGCCAATTACTTGCCACCAGTTGTTCCCATGCCCATGGCGGTCTTGAAGGAGTCATAAATCCACCATTGGAATCCAGTGAGGGTACCTGGATAGCATGTCAGCCCAAGGAAAGATTGACAGCTTAAGGATGAGGCGAACCAATCATGACAACCCTGGTGCCCAGACCTTTCGTGGCCAACTTTGCGAGTCCGACTTCCCGGTAAATCGTGCCGGCAGATTTGCCCTTGTTTTCTGCCTTTCCGAGGAGGGAGACGAGAGAATCGGCGGGGTGAGAGACGAGAGCGCACACAACTCCGGCAAGGTAACCAGATGCGAACGTGACGCCGAGCTGGGTGGTCTTGCTGTAGCTCTCTTTGGGCTGGGTGTAGACGTGCGTGTAGAACAGCTGGACGATCTTCTCGAAGAAGAAGAACTTGGCCATAGTGTACGGGATCTATGGGCCCCATTGAGCATGTCAAAGGATAAAATCGAGGGGGAGATACGCTACCTGACGTGACCAGAGAGGTACGATAGAGCCGAAGGGGAAGCGAGTCTCGGGGTTTGCGCGCATCTGGGCGAGGGCAGGACCGAAGGACGTGGGGAAGGTCCCGGTTTTGCTGGTCTGGATTTTGACTTTGGTCATCTCCAGGGGGCACAGGGCGATGTCGGCAAAGACTTCGGCGGACGCAGAACCGGCGAGCCAAATGGCGGGCTTGTACTTGTTCGACATCTCCTCGCCAGCGAGGTTCATGTACGCATCCTTGAAGACTTCGTAGAGACCGTATTTGAACATGCCCTGGAGGGAGTAGCCGACCAGAGTGGGCCCGAACCCTTTCCAGATACCGGTCTGGCCCTCTTCCTTGACCAGAAGGCTCAAGGAAGGAAAGAGGCCTTTGTACTTGACGGGGTCGACCTTGCGGAGAAAAAGTGAGCCTGCGCGCAGAAAAAAAGATGAAAAGATAGACAAACCTGCATGTTGCATTTTGCCACATCGAGGGGGGTGATGCCGGCGTGGGTGAGGCCACAGGCAAGAGCACCACCCAGCCAGGCCTTGGCGTAGTAGCTCGTGTCATGGGGAATCGGCCCAGCGAACCTGAAAGAAGAAAAACTGAGCGCGCGAAGGGTTGGAGAGACGGGGCAGACCTGGCGTCCCATTTTCCGAGGGCGGGAGAGGACATGAATGTCTAGATAGAGTCTATGGTGAAGATGTGTCCAACCTGATAAAGCCCCGTTCTGATCCGGTTTACCTGCCAATCATTTTACCTACTACTGCATAATAGGGCATCTCCCACTATTGCCGCCGTAGCACAAAGGTAGTGCATTGCTTTCCTATCGTAAGGCGATTACGTAATCGAGGCAAAGGTTGTGGGTTCGATCCCCATCGGCGGTTTTTTTCTCTATTTTATTTTTCTGGCATCGAGGCCCAGACACGTGAATTAAATGTGACTATACTGCTGACACGTGATGTGTCCAGGAGGACCCTCACAGTAGTTCCATCGCACCTTCTCAGTCTCCTTCAAGCCCGTCCCGTTCTCCGTCGACATGCTATCCCCAAAGCCCAGCGTCGCTGCCTGTGCCGACTGCCACGTGGTCCCATCCGATATGACTGCGCAATGTACAGAACAGTGCGTTGTGGTCGCCTGCAGTGATCAAGAACCGGACTGCGAAAGTGTTTGTCCTGGAAATCACTGCGATCTCGTTTGCGAGGATGCATCGGGTTGCAAGGATTGCAAAGCTTTCGACGACTTTGTACGTCCAATTTATCTGCTCGTCGTGTCGCCAGTGCTCATCCCCCCCATTTGTAGCTTCCATGTTGCACAGATTTCCATTCATACTACGAAGAGCCCCGAAACTATCCGGACATTTCAACCCCTTGGTATTGGGACCCTGTTCTCAAAACATTTGTCTGCCCTTGCGCAGGGGACGACAACATGATGGACTGCGTTCCGCCAGACGCAGTCCGAGTCGACACTCTAGCATTCGGCTCCGGCCACAGCTTCCCGGTCGAGACAGGTGCCCCAGTTCCTATGCCAGACCTATCCGCCCCTCCACCTCACTCCGTATCGGTTGTGCCGGAGACAATCGACACCGCTGCTCTCACCTGCATGTGGGGCAATTGCGGCGCTGCGTTCACGAGTCTCCCGGACTTGGCCGACCATGTTTATATGATGCATTTGCTTCATCCACCCCCACCGCAACAAGTCTTTCCCACTTCGTGTCAATGGAAAGACTGCACCATATATCCCACTGCTGATTCAATTCCGGGGCCATCGTCGTGCGATGTGGACTCCATGCTCGGGGTTCTATCTTCTCACCTCTTGCACGACCATCTCGGTTTAAGTGCCCTCCCAACTAAACCGCAACCTCCCCATTCCTCCGAGTTTTTTCACCTCGACGAGCAGCCGGTCGCACGGAGTGTCTCTCAAACACCCTCTGTTTCGTCTTTGTCAACTTCATCGGCCGAACATGACACGTATACCTGTCGTTGGCTATCATGTGCACAAAGCTTTGGCTCCCTAGACGATCTTACGCAGCATCTTATCAATATTCATGTCGGCGCTGGAAAGACGTCTTACGACTGTCACTGGCAGGATTGTTCTCGACATGGGGAAAGCGGTTTTTCAAGCAAACAGAAGCTCTGCAGACATCTACAGGTCCATTTATACTTACCGGCTATATGATTGCCGACTCTGCTTTTTTTCTAGTCCCATACCGGCCACCGGCCATTTCAGTGCAAAGTCTGCATGCAACTTTTCTCCGAGGCTGCCACTTTGCAGCAGCACATGCGGCGACACACGCAAGAAAGTAAGCGGATGTGCAATGTCTCTTTTATATCTGCGCTGAATTCATCTTGCAGAGCCTTACCTGTGCGACTATCCTGGTTGCGGGAAATCGTTTGCCATTGCCGGTGCATTGACTATCCACAAGCGGACCCATAATGGCGACAAGCCGTTTAGATGTCCTCATTGCGACAGGCAAGTCGGGGACTGTGGTTCACTTGCAGGCCCGCTGATCTGTGCTGCGATGTAGACCGTTCTCGGAATCATCCAATCTGTCCAAACATGTGGGGCACCCCACTTCTCCAGACAATTATTTTTGCTTATCCATGCACAGCTTCGAACGCATACAGGAGAAAGACCATACGCATGTACTGAACCCGGATGCAACAAAGCCTTTGCACGAGCGGACCAGTTGACAAGGCATAACCGTGTCCACAAGAAGGTCTCAAATAGCTAAAAAAGATGTTGGATTCATCTTCTAGCTGAACGTGCACATTGGGTGTACGTAGTGAATAAAACCATAGGTCATGGAATAGGAATTAAACGAACGTGAGGACGTTAGGTAGATCTTGTAAGACGAAATATTTTCATAAGAAAAAAGTATCATCAGTCGTTGGCGAGAATTAGTTTTGGATGGTTTAAATTGCCGACACTTCGCCCAATCGCGCCTTTCCCCGGACCTCTCCGATGCGCTTGCCGACAGTGCAGAACCATTCTTGAGCCTTCAACGCCCGCTTCTCGCCCTCCTCCGCATTTTTCACTTCTTTGCCCCTCTCCTCCATGGCGCCACGGAAACGCTCCCGCAAGTCCCAAGAGGCGAGCCGTAATACCTTGCGCGTCTCCCGCCCAATGCGGACCGCGTGCTGCGCCTCCCACTGATCATCGTCCTCCGCAGACTCCACCGACGCTTTGATGCGCCGACCAATGGTGCGCGGGATGGAGCTGGGTAGCTCGAGGACGACATAGACAACGGCACCGACAGTGACAGCACCTACAATAGGGAGCGCCCACTTGCGCGCCGTCTCGTTCCCGAGAAGGTCACCCAGGCGGACGACACCCTCGATCACGCCACGGACGCCGACCGCCTGCCCGCCGACCATCGTGAGTGCGCCGACGCCAACACCGATCACACTGAGCGCGCCGGGGTTCGAGTCGGTCTCGGACGATTTGGATTGGTCATGGAAGTGCAACCAGAAGTGGTGGTTCACGTCGAAGAGGTCGAAGAACGTCGTCTCCTGCATGTCTTGACGAGACGCGAGACCGATACCGAGACCATGGGCGCCGCCAGCGACAACTACGGTCTTCCCACGTGTCTTGAGCGGGCCCGCACCTTTGCCACGGCGGACGGCAGAGAACATGGCTTCGGGCATGAAGATACGCCGGCTACGCTCAACGCCGGCGGGAAGGTGCTCCTCACCGAGGTCTTTGATCTGCGCAACGCCAGTCGAGGTGATGGTCCGGGCCTCGTCTTCCGCCATCTTCACAGCGAGATCGAGCGACTCAAGAAGAGTTCGCCGCACGTCGCGGGCGTAATCCCAGACCGCCAACAGTCCGGGATAGGAAGGCAACCGTAAAGCACCTAGAGGCTTTCCGCTGCCGACTTGTCCCAGTGCGTCCGAAAGAACCTTTTTTGCCTTGTAACTGGCTTGTCTAACGCCCTCCTCTTCAACACTCTCAAGGCCTTCCTCAAGCTTCTCCCGTCCGGATTTCATTTTCTCGAGAACGGGCTTCGCCTCGGCAAGCTCTGCACGGGCCTGGGCCATTTCGGACTCTGCTACCAGTTTGTTGGCGGATGCGAGAAGCTCGATGTCGCTGAGCAGATTGAGGAGGAAAGTCTCGACGGGCTGTAATTTGGACTTGGAGCGCTTCGTGAGGACAAAAGATCGGAGAGCTGCCTCCATCTCCTCGAATGCGAAAGACTCCGCGTTCTGACCGCCACTGGCAGCAGAAGCCGAGTCGACAAAGTGAACCAAGTCGGTTGCATCCTCCCACGTACGGGGACTCAGACCTTTAATCTGCTCGAGAACGACACGACGGCACTTGTCCTTGTTCCGGATCATGTCATACTTGTTCACAACGATGAACAGATAGGCCTTTTCGTTGCTCGCGGTCCACAGGAACTCCTTCGCTGACAACGTGAAGTGGTTCTCTGCCGAAACTACGAAGACTACGACGTCGATTTCCTCCTGCCGTGCGAAAAGGGCAGTGGTTTTCAGCGAGTCGCGATTGAGGCCGGGGGCATCAATGAGAGAAATGTTGACAGTGCCGTTCGACAACAGGGAGTTCTGGTCCTTGCCGGCCAGATAGACCTTGAGCAGATGCTCGGACCCTTGTGTTTCGTACTCCGCAATGATGTCCTCGAGATCTTCGATCGCTGCAACGGTATACGTCGACTCGTCGGCAGCGCTGTAAGCAACACCGTCCTTGACAATGTGAACGGCCTCAACCCCGGCGTTTTCGGTGGCGTCGTGGACCTCGCAGAATGCAGTGGTACACGGTTGTTGGTCCACGGGCATCACTTGACGACGGAGTACAGCGTTTACGAGAGTCGACTTGCCGGCATTGAGGTCTCCGGTGACGAGCACCTTGGATGATGTGTCCTGAACGCGAAGACGGAGCTTGTCGATGTGAGCAATGGAGGCAGCAATACGCTCGTCCAAGAGGTGGGCAATCGACGACTTTTCAAGCTGCGACACCAGCGACGACGCGGAGTTAGCGGACGAGACACTTCCTAGCTTCAGGTCGAGCCGGAGGACGTGGAAGTCGGAGGAGAGTGGAGGAGGGTTGGAAGCATCGATTGGGGTCTCCTCCTTGTTACTTGGGACGGAGGCGAGGGTGACGGAGCGAGTGAGGCCGAGCCTGACCGGTGTATTGGCCGCTGGGTCGTCCGCAAACGAGAGCGAGCGACGTAGACCATCGGTGCCTGCGGATGGCTCTTCCCTCAGCTGGGGATAGCGGACAACCCAGTCGTCCTTGTTGAAGACGCGGATGTCGTCAAGAATGGATTTTGTGGAGTCTATAGCATCTACGAGACTGCAAGCGGGTGAGCAGGCTCCGCAATGGCGGAAAACGCACGCACCGGTCTTTATGTTGGTTATAAGCGTCCTGGACGTCGTCGGCCTTGGCCACAGGCCGCGGAGCCATGTATGTCTGGGACATTGCGTTTGTATTAGGCAGCTGGAGCTGGACGCCGGCAGCGACGCGATTGTTTGCTCTTTGTTGTGATGCACGATGACAAAACGGAGTCCCGGCAAGTGATCAAATTCGCAATTCACATGACCAGAGCGACTAAGTACTTGGTAGTACAAGTTCTGCTATGGCCGTCAATTTCGCAGACGATGTCGCCGTCATGGGAGGTGAGCCCGGTCCCAGTCCTCAAGCCCAATTAATTGAAGCGACCACCAGCGTACGACGCCATCATCAACAGGGAGGCAAATTGGTACGCGTTCTCCGCAGGAGTCTTGATCCCATATACCCATTTTCCAGGCTCTTGTTGGCATATGACCCTTCTGTCCAGCCCGAAACCTTCCACTTCCATTCTTCAGGCGCGAATGGGCTTCCAGAACTCAAGAGCCGGATCGAAGATCCACTCCAGGTCTTTATCGCATTC